CGTCCTAGAGGACAGGCAAGAGGAGTTACAGTGTCTGGCTGCTGCTTCACCTCATCTCGCGTCTGTACTGCTTGCTCCTGAGGGAGACCTGGATGCACTAGACATCCCGACTCCGCGCTCCTACGCGGAGGCCGTAGAGGGTCCCTACTCCTCTCAGTGGCAGGCACCTATGGATGCAGAGATGGCTTCCTGGAAGTCCACAGGCACCTACGTTGACGCGGTTCCCCCTCCTGGGGCGAACATCGTCAGTGGCATGTGGATCTTCAGGGTGAAGCGGCCGCCAGGCTCTCCACCTGTCTTCAAGGCGCGGTACGTCGCTCGTGGCTTCAGTCACCGGCAGGGAGTTGACTACTTTCAGACCTTCTCTCCCACCCCGAAGATGACTACTCTTTGGGTGCTGCTACACATAGCCGCTCAGCGTGACTACGAGCTTCACTCTCTCGACTTCAGCACTGCGTTCCTGCAGGGTAGCCTGCACGAGGAGATCTGGCTGCGCCGTCCACCTGGCTTCACTGGGACTTTCCCTCCTGGCACCCAGTGGAGCCTCCGACAGCCAGTCTACGGTCTCCGCCAGGCACCGCGTGAGTGGCACGACACACTGAGGACTACGCTTGCGGCTCTTGGGTTTGCTCCTTCTACTGCTGACCCATCGCTGTTTCTGCGCACCGACACTTCACTGCCGCCGTTCTACATCCTCGTGTACGTCGACGACTTGGTCTTTGCCACAGCGGACACTGCTGGACTCGCCTACGTGAAGTCCGAGCTGCTGAAGAGACACACGTGCACAGACCTGGGTGAACTTCGCAGCTACCTTGGCTTGCAGATCACTCGGGACAGAGCACGCCGCACCATTACCTTGACTCAGTCACACATGGTGCAGCAGGTCCTTCAGCGCTTCGGCTTCACGTACTCCTCGCCTCAGGCCACTCCTCTGTCTACCCGCCACTCGCTCTCAGCTCTGCCTTCGGATGAGTCCGTAGAGTCGAGTGGCCCGTACCCAGAGCTTGTTGGCTGCCTCATGTACCTGATGACCTGCACACGACCTGACCTTGCATACCCTCTGAGCATTCTTGCACGCTATGTTGCTCCTGGGAGACACCGACCAGAGCACAGGGCTGCAGCGAAGAGGGTATTGCGCTACCTGTGCAGCACGTCGGGCATGGGGCTAGTGCTTGGAGGGCGGAGTCCAGTGGTCCTTACAGGTCACGCGGACGCTTCTTGGGCTGACGACCAGGCTACGCAGCGGTCGTCACAGGGTTACACCTTCAGCCTTGGTTCCGGCTTTGTCTCGTGGCGGGCTACTCGTTCGTCTTCGGTTCTCAGCTCTAGTTGTGAGGCTGAGATCTACGCAGGGGCCATGGCTGCACAGGAACTTTGCTGGCTCACCTACCTGCTGACTGACCTTGGAGAGCCGCCTCGTTCTCCTCCAGTGCTGTACGTAGACAACAAGGCTATGCTGGCCTTGTGTCGAGAGCAGCGTCTGGAGCACAGAACGAAGCACATTGCTCTTCGCTACTTCCTTGCTCGTGAGCTACAGCACCGTGGACAGTTGCGGCTTGCGTACGTGGCCTCTGAGGCCAACACTGCTGATGTGTTCACCAAGGCACTTGCGCCTTGTGACCATCAGCGCTTCTGCACCCAGCTGGGTCTTGTGCTTGTCTTGCCTCACTTGCTCTCCTCTTGACTTTACTTGTACTGTGACATATATATACCGGCTCTTGCTTGTCTAGCTTTATATATATGTCTGTACTCTTGCATGTGAACTGGCCTTTGGCCTTGCTCTTGTGCTCGGACTGTGTGGTGACTTTGTGATCCACCCTGAGCTTTGCTTTGTCTTGCTTGACTGGTCTTGTGACCCCTTGTTCTCCCCCACTTTGCCTATGGGGGTGTGTCAGAACATATATATATAGCTTATACTATTGTGTAGGCTGTAGTGGGGTATCCCATATGGGGTACAACCCAGTTAGGGTTTCCTATTTGTACTCACTTCATTCATAGTTCATCCATTCTCGTCCTATTTTCAACACATTTCGCAGCATGCAGGAAATCAATCACAGCCGAGGAAACAGCCCGACTCTTCATCACCACCAGGGCTGACGTTTCAAATTTAGGTACCCTGATGTCCACAAAAAAAAAAAAAATGAACCCTGAAGGCATATTTTCCAGAAAAGCAGCACCCTGATTGCTTAGTGTTGGGAAGTTATACAGTCTGAGTGTTTAGGGTCGAGAAGTCACGATCAGGGTACGTGTAGTAACGCGCTGTGCATTATCGAAACTGAACTTTGATGGCGAATCTGTTCTGTGAAAGGGCGAATGTGCAATGTCAGATACATTTTACTGTGATTGGTCTAGACCTTTGTGCAATGACAGCTCAAATCTGCTGTGTCAGGGCCATTTCGCTGTGATTGGGCAAATTCGTTGCTCCGTACGGCGCGAATTCGCTTTGTCAACGCGAATTTTTAATGACGCTGGTGCTGTGACCAGTCAAGACGGGTTTGACTCACCAGTTTGACCCTCACTAGTGAACCTCGGAGGTGGGTGTATCGAAAGGAAATTTCGAGGAAGCTTCCTCCCGATAAACTTGCATGCAGGGACCACAGAACGCATACTCTGTAGTGACAGACTCCAGAAATGACTAACACTGAGGCCTATTACACTGAATCAGGGGCCATAAAACAATAACTCTGAGGCTCTCAGTGATGAAAATTTGACTACTCTGGAATTCCATTTTTCACAAACTCGATGGTCTGATCCGTCAGACTAATCAGACTATTTACTCTGATAGCGTCAGCCCTGATCACCACCGTCGTTCGACTGCACGGGATACCAGCGTCGATCATCAGCGACAGGGACACGAAGTTTACCAGCAATTTCTGGTGGAACCTGTGGCAGCAGTTCGGCACGCGACTTCAATTCAGTTCATCCTATCACCCCGAAACCGACGGACAGACAGAACGGACAAACCAGACTATGGAGCAGCTGATTCGAGCCACGTGCGACGATCCAAACACGTGGGAGCAGCAGCTGCCCCTCATCGAGTTCGCATACAACAATGCGTCATCGGTCACGACCCAACAGTCGCCATTTTACTTGAACTACGGACAGGGCCCAACAGTACCCATGACACCGAATCCCGACAATCTCGTTCCACGCGCACAACAGTTCGCCGAGATTTTGGAAGCAGCACGGACCAGGGCAACGGAAGCAATTAAAAAATCAAATATCATCGCTAAACGCAACGCCGATCGCCACCGCAGACCCGTCACTTATCAGTCCGATGACCTCGTTTTACTCGACACTCAGAACCTCCGCCTGCCCATCACTCCCAAACTCCGCCCTCGATACTGTGGGCCATTTCGAACCAGTCACATGATCACACCTGTCACCGCGCACCTCCTCCTTCCTGCTGACTGGTACGTCAGCCCCTCGTTCCACGTCAGCCTGCTTCGCCCTTACGTACCATCCACCAGCCAACTCCCACGACATCGACCACCCAGCATGACACGACCACCAACCGAACCAGTCATCACCCCCGACAAAATCTTGAGCCACAGAGTTCGCGACCCTCGAGGAGCCCGAAAAGTTGAGTTCCTGATCCGCTGGAAAGATCGTACACCCACCGAGGACAACTGGGTTCCCCTGGACAAAGTTGAAAACCACCCTGTCGTCACCGACTATCTGCGCAGCCGAAACTTCAAAGACGTCCACGCGCTTTCGTAAAGAGGACCTCCTTAGGAGGGGGGGTAGTGTAAGGAAATTCCCTTTTCCTTACTCCGCATCCCTGCTCAACGCGTACATCACTGTAGCACCTCAGTCAGCACCGTTACCACTCGCGACCATCGCATCATTCATCATCCCGCCATTTTCGCACATCGCATCCCGACCTCACGGCTCGGCTGGTAACCCGCGCTCCGGGCCTACGCTTCGACACTTTCCAAACCTCAGTCCCAGGCTCGTCGCGCGACCATTACCGTTACCACTGTAGTTTCGCTATATATTCTTCGCTCATGCCTTCGCTCATTGTATTCTTGCTTCGATAGTGCAATTCTAGTTCGTTCACTCAATTGCACTCGTAACAGTAGGGCCCTTATGTATCAATGCAACAGTACAGTAATCCGAACTGTCGAGTTATCAATGTTGTACGTTCCCTCTTGGGACCTCCGTACTCCAGCAGCGAATGTCTCTGCCATATCCATCACCAGCACTCACTCTCATACCAGAGCTAGAGGCGTAGAGATGAAGCATGGCGGTGGTTCGTGGTCGCCCCAGGTTTCTATTTCTAGCAGTCACCCTTCGAGTGGTTCAGCCGGACAGTACCGTAGCTCGCTTCGATCAGTTTCTTGTTCAGAACTAGGCTTCGGGATTAGCCAGGATGTACCTTGAATCCCCTACCATACATGGCAGTGATCCGTGACCGTCTTAAATTCCTCTTCTAGCAGCCACTTTGCGTGCTTCAGCCGGTCGGTACTATAGCCGGTCGGTCGGTCTTTGCATGGTAATCCCTTTTATGTGGAATGGAATCTCGTGTCGCTGTTGAAATTGGAAATCCAGATAGGGAGTACGAAGATGGGAAGTCCGAGTCAAGAGAGGAGGAAAATCTGGTGACGCAGGTTGCGGACGGGGGAAGGGAGGAAAGAGAGGATGGGCGAGAGAGCGAACAGGAGACAGCGTACAGTGCGTTGCAGCAGCTGGTTACTACTGTTTCGTCCACGTCGCCATCCCTCGCAGCCTGGTTAAGCGGGTTCCAAAGCACCATGGACAATTCAGGCCGCTCAGGTTCCCCGCTTCCTCCTCGCGTCGCTGCTGCTACCGCTGTTGGTGCATCTTCCTCTGACGCTTCTGCCGTCACTGCTGCTACGGCTCCTGAGGACTCTGATGCTGCTGCTACAGTCGCCGTTTCTTTTGACAGCGTTTTTTCTGATGCCGACGCGTCTGCTGCTTTACCACCATCCACGGCAGCGGAAGGACTCTTCCGCACCATCTCTGCCCCCTGCTTCTCCATGGAGCTCCGTGATTGGCTGGAATCCTCGGGACTGGGCTCCACGGATCTCCTAGGCTCGTTGACCCGCGCCATGGATTCCGAACCTGCAGGCGAGGCTCGGTCGTCCCTGGCCTTGCTTGCGTCTAATCTGGTCCACTCGCTGCAGCTTCGGCGGATACAGGACGTTTTTACCAGGTCAGTAAAAAAGGAGGGGGAGGGTGGGAGAGGGAGAAGAGAGGGGAGTGGTGTGGGGGAACAATTTGAGTCGGGGGATTTTGTGTGTTAGTATCATGGGATGAGGGATTGTGTGTGTGAGAGTTCATATCATTCATACAAGAGGGTGATTTTATTATCAGGACATGAGTGGTGGGAGCTTACAAATAGGGTGCAATCCGTGGTTGCCCCGGTGCTCTCCCTCCCCCCTGTGTGCGTGCGTGCTCAGCTGCCCCAGAGCCCTCCTGGTCTGCCTGAGGCACTCCTGGTGGAGTGTGAAGGATGCTCGGGGTAGATGCAGGTGGGGAGGGGTAGATGCAGGTGGGGAGGGGTAGATGCAGGTGGGGAGTGGTAGATACAGGCGGGGAGGGGTAGAGGTGGGTGAGGAGGGGTGGGGAGAGGTGGGTTCAGGTAGGGAGGGATGAATTGTTGTAGGGGCCATCGACTGGAAAGGTTCATGGTGGCGGTTTGTGGGTTGAGGGGTAAACAGGTGAGGCATGAAAGCAGACTCTGATTTTTTATTTATTCTCGAAGGCAAGCTCTTGTAGAGGCTTATTCTGCTGTAATCCTTCGTCCGCACGTGCGATCTCATTCTTCTTCTCTTGGTTGTCCGACTCTTGTTTGTTCCGTGTTTCCCACCCGTGCCACAGGCAACCGGACTTGGCGTGCGGCGAGGCGGTGTGGGTGCTGGGAGTGCGATACGCAGAGTGGGAGGACGAGGAGGTGGGGCGAGAGGAGGCGCAGGAGGGGGGTGGGGAAGGGGAGGGGGAGGCGAGGAGAGGGGAGGGGGCTGAGGGGAGGAGAGAGGGGGGAAGGGGTGAGGGGAGTGGAGCAAGGGAAGGCGGGGATGTGGTGAATGACGTGGATGAGGGTAGAGACGGAGGGAGGGTTGATGGGAGGGATAAAGGGCGGGAAGGAGGTGGAGGTTTGGCGAGGGAGGAAGGGCGAGAGGGTGTGAGGGAGAAGGAATATGAGCGGGATAAGGGTGGTCGGAGGGAGGAAGGTGGGGAACAAGAGGGGTTAGAGGAGAGGAGCAGTGGAGAGAGAAGTGAGGTAGTGGAGGAGGGGAGGAGTGGGGGGGCACGGGAGGAGGGGAGGAGTGGGGGGGCACGGGAGGAGGGGAGGAGTGGGGGGGCACGGGAGGAGGGGAGGAGTGGGGGGGCACGGGAGGAGGGGAGGAGTGGGGGGGCACGGGAGGAGGGTATGAGTGGGGGCTCGTGGGAGGACCTGGTGGTGGACGTGCAGTCAAGGCTATGGATGACGTACCGCTGGGGCTTCCCCCCTCTGCCCTGCACTGCTGCTGCTGCTGATGGCGCTGCTGCTGCTGCTGCTGCTGCTGGTGTTGGTGGCGCTGCCGCTGCTGCTGGCGCCTGTGCTGGCGGTGGTGGTGCTGCTACTGGTGCTGGTGCTGCTACTGGCGGTGGTGGTGCTGCTACTGGTGGTGGTGCTACTGGTGGTGGTGGTGGTCCTGGCTTCACCACGGACACGGGGTGGGGCTGCATGTTCCGCACCGGCCAGATGATGCTCGCTCAGGTAACGTCTCGCTCTGGTGCTGGCACAGATGGTGCCACTGGTGGCGGTGCTGGCGCTGTCTTTACCGCGAACACAGGATTTTGCTGCATGTTCCGCACAGGCCAGATGCTGCTCGCACAGGTACGATGGGCATCCTCAGTCTTGCAACGGATTTTTTGCCCTTAATACTGCTGTTGTTGTTTTCCCTCCTCCATTTCCCCTTCCCTGTCTATTTTCCATCTCCCCTTTTGCTGTGCCCTCCAGGCCCTTGCTGTGCAACCAGCTTTTGAGGCAACTCTGAAATGATTCAATATGATGTTGTTTTTCCTTGCCTGTGCTCTCCACACCCTGTCGCGCCACCATATGTTGAATTGACCCTCAGTTTTGTTTCATCCTTCCTTCCCCATGCCCTCTAAGCCCAGCTGTGAGTCCTGGAGACATCTTATAGGCTGTTGTCCCTCTGTTTTGTTCCTTCCTACCTTCCCTGCACCCTCCCTCCCAGGCCCGGCTGTGCCACCTGCTGGGCCGCCAGTGGAGACGACTTGGAAGCGACTCAGAAGCGACTCAGAAGCTATTGTCTTCTCCTCCTCCACCATCTTTGAAACTCTCAGAAATCGTTCTTCTTTCTCCTTTCTCCGAGCTGTGCAGGCCCTGCTGTGCCACCGCCTGGGCCGCCGGTGGAGACGACAGGCTGGCAGGGAGGAGCAGGTGGGGGGGGTTGGTGGGGAGGGGGAGGTGAGAGGAGGGGGAGGTGAGAGGTGAGAGATAGAGTGGGGAGGCGACATGAGGGAGGAACGGGTTAAGAGGGCTGCTGGGGAGGGAGAGGTGAGGGGGCAGTGGGGAGGCGGAGATGGGAGGGGTGATGGGGATGGGGAGGTGAGCGGAGGGGTGGTTGAGAGGTGAGGGGGGGAAGAGCATGCCAAATGCTTGCTCTCTCACATCACTCCCACCCCTCCCACACTCGCACTCAGCCCAGCTTTATCGCCCAATGATTTATGCCCGATCTACTTGCCCGATCTCCACAGGCTACAAAGCACTTTCCCTTTCCAATGCCAACAGGAGAGCGAGCTTACTTCTAATACCTCTACTCACATATACGGCTCCCCTCGTCCTTTCTCCCCCACTCCCCCTCTCCTCTCCCTCTAACTCTCCTCCTCTCCCTTCCCCCCCATCCTCTCCTCCCCATCCTCTCCCCCCCATCCTCTCCTCCCCATGCTCTCCTCCACATGCTCTCCTCCCCACCCTCTCCAGGCCTACCACGAGGTCGTTCGTCTCTTTGCAGACTCCCCCTCTCCACTCTCCCCGTTCTCTCTGCACCATTTGGTTCGGGGCGGCGCTAGGCTCGGCGTCAAGGCTGGGGCGTGGCTCGGGCCGTACCGGCTGTGCGTCACGCTCGGGAGCTTGGTTCGGGAGATGGAGAAGGGGGGAGGGGAGAGTGGTGTGGGTGAGGTGGAGACGGGGAGAGGAGAAGAAGGGGAGGACAGTGAAAGGGAGGAAAAGAATGGGGATGCAGGGATGGTGAGAAAACCAAGAGCGGGAAGAGACTGTGGTGAGCGGCAAGAAAACGGCGAGGAGGCTGGCGACTTGACACGGAGCAAGGAAGGAAGACTTTGGGGCAAGGAGGGGTCGCTATGGGGCAAGGAGGGGCCGCTATGGGGCAAGGAGGGGCCGCTATGGGGCAAGGAGGGGCCGCTATGGGGCATGCGCGTGCATGTGGTGGGGGCGCACCCTGGGGGGGAGGGAGGGGGAGGTGCGCCCATGCTGTGTGTGGACGAGGTGATGGCTCTGTGTGGCGGGGGAGGAGGAGGGGGAGGAGGGGAGGTGAGGAAGGGAGGGGGGAGGGATGCAGAAGGTGGGGAAGCATTGGAGGAACAATGGGGGGAGAGGGACGGGGAGAGGGAAGGGGAGCGGGGAGATGAGGAACGAGGCGAGGCGAGCGCATGGCGGGCGGTGCTGATCCTGGTGCCGTTGGTTCTCGGTGTCGACCATATGGACGCCCGGTGAGACTGCTGTGGCACAATCTGGCTGGTGAGGTGGGGCTGTTGTTGTGCACGTTGAGGCTGTTGTGCACGTTGAGGCTGCCGTGCAACTTTTGAGGCGCCTCAAAAGGCTGCCGTGCACGTTGAGGGTTGCAGTCAATCCATCGCTCCCCTCATCTCATCTCCTCGCACCCTCCCACCCTGCAGCCACCAGAAGCTACTGCGCCGCCCGTTCGCCTTCCCCCAGACCGTTTGTCTTTTCTGTTTTCCTCCTCTCATTTCCACCCCATCCGTTGCTTCTCATCAATCCCTCGCCCCCTGCCACCCCACAGCTACCAGGAGGCACTGCGCCGCACATTCACCTTCCCCCAGAGCGTGGGCATTGCGGGAGGCAAGCCGCACACGTCGCTCTACTTCATCGGCACACACCAGAATGATGTGCTGTTTCTGGACCCGCACTACCCACAGCAGGTAATTATAAGCTGTAACCAGGTAACCATCACATGTAAGTACAGGGTAGCAATGGCGTGCAACCGCGAGGCAAGCTGCACACGTCTCTCTATTTCATCGGCACACACCAGAGCGACGTGCTCTTCCTGGACCCGCACTACGCACAGCAGGTAACATATCATGGTTGCTAGGTTACGATAGCACATGGTTACCAGGTTACATTGGCATGGGAGGCAAGCCGCGCATGTGGCTCTTCCTGGCCCCGCATCACTCTCAGCAGGTGAAGAGCAGCTTATTGTGACATGCAACCTTTGTGTCCTGCATTTTCTGGTAGTTATCCATTATGATTAACCCAGTGCCCACCCACCACTTGTTCTTTTGGTTACCCCCTGCAGGCTGTTGCATTCCCTGAAGGTCCAATCAGTGCATACCATGTGGACACATCGTCCTACCATTGCAGGTGCATTTTTGCTTACTCTGTTTTCTTTTATTTTCTATTCTTTTCTATTCTCCTGCTTCCTTCCCATAAGAGCAGCACCATCTGACACGAGCCATTATGTTTACCGCCTGAAAATGTATGCGTGTTCCTTGCACTGTTTCCCCCAGCAGCACCGTCCGGCGCATGCCTCTATCAGGGATGGACTCCTCTCTGGCTCTCGGCTTTTACTGTTCAACCCAAGGTAACAGCTCTGCTTTTGCTTGTTTCTTAATCTAGGAAACCCACTGCTTGCTATTGCAGAAACGATCTGTTAGAGGGTTTCCCGTTGCCTCCCAAAGACACGCTACCTTTGGTTGACAAGCCACTTTTGCATGTCTGTGTTTTATGCGTACCTGTATCGCTCGTTGCTTCCCGATGCCAATCCCCTTCTCACACACAGGTGACTTTGAGGACCTGTGCCAGCGGATTGAACAGCTTGCACGATTGTCAGAAGGTGCGCCACTCCTCACTGTGGGCAACAGGGCCGATTTGGCGAGCTATGCGGTGAAGGAGGTGCCTGAGATGGACAGCTCGTCTTTGGGAGATTCATGGGAAGATAATGATTCCGACATTGGTGACAACTGGGAGCTTGTATAGCGGGGTGGTGCTCCCATTCTGGTGTACATGTGTTTTTTGTATCTGGTCAAGGACAAGCTAACATTTGTAACTAGCATGTATATATATTCTGTACAAATACGGATAATTCGGTAAAGGTACTGTACTTTTCCTGCACACATCCCGCCAGTTTTCAGCCACGACGCTTTTTGCCTGGCAACACGACCTTCATGGGTGGATTGAATGAACGCCACACTGTACAGCACAGCAACCACCCCTCCCCACCCCACCCAACTGCGCCAGGCTACCAACCAGCCGGAGCAACCAAGGGTTACAGAAATTCTGACCACAAAGTTCGCGCCGCTGGAACAAGGCTTCATTTTGACCCGCTGGATCCAGCCCGGACCAGAGTGAAAGATTTTGTGTGCACGTGTCAAGCGCTCACTTGCTTGATGACCATGTGAATCCATGGCATGTTTGTTTTCCCGATTTTTCGATGCACTTTTTCCGACTTTTGAAGATATTTTAGATGCACTTTCTCGAAGTTCCCATTCCCGTTCTCTGCCTTCCTCGCTTCTCGTCCTCCCGAAATACATCCATCCATTTTGTGCATCTCGTCGTTGATCCCTCCGCATCCCATCCCACCACATCTAATCGTAACTCATCCCATCTCTTTCCTCCTCTTCCGCCCATTCCACCAAGTTACATCCGCCTCTGTCGTCCATTCATTTCCGCCCGCCCCAGCCTCCCTCCCTCCCTCCTCACCTCGCTTCTTGCTCCTCATCTATCTTCCAGCTTGCTTATCTTCCATGATTCGTGTCGCCGCCGTAAACCAGCCGCATCCTCTTCCGTTCTTGCCTCCTCCGCTTTCTTTCACGTCTTCTACGCTTCGCCGCTGTCTGTCTGCTACTCCCGTCAGTCTCTACATAGTACCTTAACTCTCGCACGTCAGGGAACTTAGACACGATCGATGGAGCGACCGTGACCAAGCCTATAACGACCCCGTCGCTTATTCATTTCCACTTTTTCGTTTTGACGGTTGCTGTAGATAAATTCTTCAAGATAGCCCGTAAACGAAAGGACCGAACGGTTTTCTAGATCAGCTCGAGCTACGCAGCGTGTTCCACTAAACATCTTATCAGTGGGAAAGGAGCGAGAGTTACTTGTTATCCTATTCGACAGGTCGACCTCCATAGTGCGAAATATCAAATCTGACATTCTATCAAGTCCCTAGGAGGTAAACGACGGTAGTTAAGAATGAGTAGGAATTCAAGCCATCGAAGCGGCAGGAGTCGGAGAGACCAACCAGCGGAACCAGTGGCGCTGTTTCCGCGGATGGACGTGCGCAGCGTGGCAGCAGCGGTAGCGGCGGGGCCCAAGCCGCCCCCGCGGAACAAAATGGCGCTCTACGAGGCCTTGGCGCTGCCTTCCGCAAAGCGCCACCGCGCCGCGTCGGGCGCCTCCCCGCTAGGCGTCGCAGGCTTTCTCCCCCCATCCTCCCCGTTCTGCGCTATGTCTAGCAGTTTTCCGACAAGCGGCTTTCCGTCTACCGTTTTTTCAGCGAACGTTTCTCCGCTGAGGGGTTTCCCGTCGAACGCCTTCCCGTCAAGCGGTTTCCCGTCGAGCGCCTTCCCGTCAAGCGGTTTCCCGTCAAACGGTTTCCCCTTCAACGGTTTCCCGTCAAACAGCTTTCCGTCTAGCAGTTTCCCGTCAAGCGGTTCAGGACCAGCTTTCGCAGCCTCTCCCGCTCATCCCGCCGCCGGGGTACGCTTGCCCTCACTCCCCTTCCTGCTGCCTCCCGCTTTCCCGTTGAGTTTTCTTATGCGTCAAGCTGTTATCGTTTCGCGTATTCCGTACTCCCCGCTTCCGCTCTTCCGTTAAGCCTTTCGTTCCTTCGTTCCCATGCGGCGGGGCCCCGTTCCCCACCATCCGCGCATGCATCCATCCGCGCATGCATGCATGCGTGCCAGCCATTGGCAGTTTTCCTTCTAACGAGCTTGAGACTCCCCGTCTCTTGTTCCGACTGTTGCGCCGTTTACGCACCCTTCCGTCCACCAATCAGCTCGCAGCGTCCGTGCTGCCGCCGCCCTGCCACGTGTCCAAGTTCGCATACGCGCCCTTCGAAGCCGCCAGCCAGCAGCTCTTTTCCGCGCAGCCGCGTTCTTCGCAAGCCGCGAACTCGTTACAAGCTCCTGATTCGTTACAAGCAGCCTTCAAGCGCCCGTCGGCACCCGTCAGCAACAGCAGCGGGCCCCGCGCTTCCATTCCCGCGCGTACCAGAGACTCCTTGTCTGGAAGCTTCCACGAAGCCGCGCCTCCAGCGTTCCAAGCCGCGTGCGCAACACACTCCGTCGGCGGGCCTTCCTCCGGTTCCGACCGTTCCGCCCCGTCTCCCGTTGCGAGCGCAGCAGGGGGGATATCCGCGCTGCCGCGCGCCATGGGCGGAACTCCCTTCCCGCCGCATGCATCAGGCGCATCCGGAAGCTCCGGCGGATTTCCAGGATTCCCAAACCCCGCCGCGGGCTCAATTGCGGACGGAATCGGGGGAGGAGGAGCTGGCGGGTTGGCGGACGAGAGGGCGGAAGGTATGGCGGGGGCAATGGCGGGCGGAGGTGTGCGGATCCCCGGAAGCTCGTCTCCGCGGGATGAGGCTGCGGAGAGCGCCTTCTGGGCGTGGCGCCACCACTCGCGCACCTCCCCCGGCCCCCCTGCTTCCGCCTCCGCCTCCCCCTTCGCTGTTCCTGGCGCCCCTTCCCCGTTCGCCCCCTCTGCGTTTCCTTCCGCCGTGGGTCCCCCTTTGCCTGTCCCCTTTGCCGCGGCTCCCCCCGATGTCGCTGCAGCAGCCGCGGCTGCCATGCTTGCGGTTACGGGTGGCGGAAAGACTGTGGCGGGAGGTTGGGGGGGAGTAGCGGGGGGGAATAAAGCGAGGGCAGAGGAGCATGAGAAGGAGCAGAGGCAGGAGTTGAGGAAAGCGGCTGGGATAAGCGGAGTGGGGAGGGACGCAGCAGTAGGAGGAAGGGATGTGAGCGGAGCAGTGAGGGCGGATCGAGGAGCAATGGGGGAAGGTGGCGAGAGGACAGGAGCAAGGGGAGAAGCGAGGGGCAAAAGAGGAGTGAGTGAAGGAGTGAGGGCGTGTGACGTGGTGGCCGTGGTGGGCCAGCGGGAGTTTTGGCGCCTGCAGCAGGGCATGCAGAGGTGAGCAGCAGGGCATGCAGAGGTGAGCGTAGCGTGTTTCCGTCTTTTTCTTCCTTTTCCTCGTTTTCTCACCTCTCGTTCCCTCCATTTCTCGCCTCTTATTCTGTCCCACCTATTCCGTTCCCCCTTTCCCTCTCGTCCCGCGCTCCCTTCTCCCCGCCTTGCAACAACCAGGCATGAGCGCATAGTGCGAGCACAGCTGCTGGACCTGCATTCACTCATCATAGTACAGCAAGAACTCTTCCAAGCAGACCGCCCCCCCTCCCCCGAGCCCTCCGCCACCAGCGCCCCCCTCCCCTCCGCCCCCCTCTCCCCCGCGCCCTTCCCCCCCGCCTCCTTCCCCTCCGCCCCCCTCTCCCCTGCGCCTCTCCAGCCCCTCCGCCCTTCCCAACCTCCCTTCCGCGCCTCCCCAGCTGCGCCGCACACCTGTGTCGAGGCTGAGTCGCAGGCTCGGGGATTTCCAGGGCAAGTGGTTCGGACGGATACGGAAGGGTTCTCTGCTGCGATTGGTGAAGGAGGGGTTATGGGGGGAGAGGAGCGGGAAAATGAGGAGAGGGTGAGGGATGGTACTGCTGGTGCTGCAGTTGGCTATGCGGACAAGGCAAGGAGGAAGAGAAGAAGGCAGGAGGAGGGTATGGGGGAGGGTATGGGAGAGGATAATGGGGATGATAGGGGAAGGGGGGAGGAGCATTGGGGGGAGTGGCAAGCGAGCCCCAGAGCAGCGTCCGTTGCCGCCCCTGCTCTGTCGCGCTCCCCTCGGGTGCACTCACAGTACACTCAGCACAAGCAGCACACCGATTATGTGGTGCAGAAGCGGCAGGAGCAGCAGAAAGTGCGCCACGAAGCAGAGAATCTGGAGGAGCCTGCAGCATCCAGCTCGCCCCATCGCCCCACACATGTTAGCCCCATACACGCTAGTCCCACTCGCTGTAGCCCTGTTCGCACCCCACCTCTCTCGCGTCCCATACCTCCTACCCATACAGGCAAGAGCCCCAGTCCTGCCCCTGCCGTACCTCCCGGCCCCGTGCCTGTAGGTTCGGCAGCTGGTATGGTCGGAGGCTTGGCAGGGTTGTGGAGCTACCCCCTTTACCAAACCACACCTGACCTTTCACCTGGGGTTTCTCCTGGTCCTTTCCAGCATCCAATGCCTGGTAACCCCGTCTGGGCTCCTGCTGCTGTTCCGGCTCCTGTTGCTGCCGCCTCTGTCCCTGCCTGCCCTCCCTCCGCTGAACCAAATCCTGGGGTAACCCCGAGTTTGGGGGGTTGCACACCCCTCTCGGGTGCAGATGCTGACGTTGCAGCAGCTGCTGCTGTGACCGCTGCTGCTGCCACTGCTGCTGCCAACGATGCAGCAGCGGCTGCTGCAACCACTGCCGGTGATAGTGATTGTCAGAACATAGATAGTGAGGATTGTAAACGTGACTATGCTGGATGCGGCAACAGCGCCCGTGACAATAGCGATCGTGAGGACGCGGATCGTGACAGCAGTCATGGTGATGCAGGCAGGGAAACGGAAGAGAAGAAGGGCACCCACCGCAGCAGCACACCCCATGACTCAGCGCAGCAGCAGACCTCAGGAGGTTTAGGTGGTGCTATGGGTGCTCCTAACATGGCTGCTTTTCAAGCATTTCTGGTGCAGAAGCAGCAGCAGCAGCAGCAGCAACAGCTGCAATGGCTGCAGCAGAAGCAGCAGCATCAGCAGCAACAGTCTCAGCAGCAGCAGTGGTTGCAGGTTTTGCTACAGCAGCAGCAGCAGCAACAGCAGCAGCAGCAGCAGCAGCAGCAGCAGCAGCACATGCTGCAGCAGTGGCAGCAGCAGCAGCAACAGATGCTATTGCAGCAGGTGCAGCAGCAACAAGCACTGGTCAATCTTCTCTGGATGCAGAAAACTGCCCGCACCAGTGCTGCAGCGCCCGTGGGTTCTGCTGCAGCTGCTGCTGGCAATGCCTCTGATGATACATATGATGAGTATGATGATTCTGGGGATGGTTATAATGGTAATGATGACTCGGGTGAGGATAATTCTTGTGGTGACGGTGATGATGACGGGATTGGAAGCCAAGACAGGAGGCATGGAAAGGCAGCAGTTGGAGGGAGTCGACGTTGTGATGTGAGTGGGGGGAGGTGCAGCAGTGGTGGAGAGGGTACCAGTCATAGTGGCAGGGCTGGCAGGTATGGCGTTGCAGTGGAAACAAATGAGGATGAGACTTAGAATGAAGATTGGGGTGACATTGATGAGTTTGCACATCTAGTGGGCATCAATCTCATATTGTTTTATCTGTTTTGTTTATATTGTATAGCGCATATAAGGCTGGAGATGGTGTACATTGTGACATTTTGTTCGTTTGCAGGTGGACACCAGTACCGCCCAGCTTGACGCTTGCCAGTGGTTGTGGAACCTCAACCACCACCAACTAACCACCCTGCCTTTTTGGAAATATCCTGCCCACAAAAATCCCCAGTCGTAGCACGTGGCGTGAAGAATCCCGTGCTTCGCAAACTCTTGTCGCCGCAGCTGCCCCGCGGGAAAGAATTCGAAATTCACGTCGCCGCGTGACTGACTCATCAGCCAACCAATCGTAGCCAGCCAGTTTCTGAAACCCTTGCTCCGCCGCATACGCGCAAGCTCGTCTCTCCTTCCGCCCCGCCCCTTGGAAAGAAAATACCCCGGCACGCGGCGCTGGCAAGAAAGTTTTCCCCGGCTGCCCCCAGTTCCCCCCAACACTACTTGCGCCACCAGCCCAAACCGCGCGGCAATTCTACCTCGGGATTGCCGTGCAGGTATAAGCTGGACCGCTGGCGACTTGAGCTCCATACTGAACTTCCCATCTCGACTCCAGCTCCTCCCGTGCTCCCGGCAAGTATCTGCGCTCAAGCAGATGTACGTTTTAGGTTAGCTCCCTCTATTGTGTCATGCAACCCGTCGCGCTTGAAATCAGCTAGTTCTGCAGCCTTTTATTTAGTCGTCTACATCCAGTCTGTTTGAGGTTCGGCGTGCTAAATCAGGAAAATTATTGGGGCATCTGATTTAAGCGGCTTGTTAGTTTCTTGTCCGCGGGTACCAGTTCTTGTGCGAGCTAGGGTTGTTCCTACCCCTGTTCCGAATTAAAGCCACGTTTCTTACGCACTAATACTTGCTTCGTCCTAAAAAAAACAACATCAAACATTAAAACTCGAGTTCAAAGCTTCACTACTTCGATCGTCCTGAAGGAGCTTCGAGCGCGGTCATGGAGGAAGAGAGCGAGCGGAAAAGCGCGGATAGAGACAGAGCGCCAGCAGCAGCGGCAGGAGCGGCGGACGCGGATGCGGGCTCCACGGCGCTGCCCGAAAGAGTACGGCAAATTCAATTCCATATGTGTTCCAAATTCGTAACTTATCCTTCTAGGTACACTATGAGTCACGATAGTGTAGCGGGCTTCTCTCGCACCGTGCGTCTTACGGTCGCTTTTTCCCGACACAAGTGGGCCCGTCGCCGGTGCATAAGACCGAGCGGACGTTTTAGGGTCGCCGCTGCCGTCAGTATATCTCAATGCGCCCGTTTTCGACTTTTGAAGCGCCTCAGAAGTTATCACGATACCCCTTTTCCTGACAGGTGCAAGTGGGCGGGTCGCCCGTTTATAAGATGGCGCGGACTCTTTAGAGTCGACGCTATTGTCCGCTCAGTGCTCTGTGTAATAATTCGTAACACTTCTTTTCCCCCGCAGGTGCAAGTGGGCGGGTCGCCCGTTTATAAGATGGAGCGGAAGCTGTAGAGTCGCGTGCTATGTCCCCTCGGATATTGAAGATGTGCCTTTTTTCTCGGCAGGTGCAAGTGGGCGGGTCGCCGGTTTATAAGATGGAGCGGAAGCTGGGGAAGGGCGGATTCGGGCAGGTGTACGTGGGAAGGCGCGTCAGCGGCGGCAACGAGCGGGTTGGGCCCAACGCCGTGGAGGTGAGATGAACGATTGAGATGAGCGGCGGCGATTGAGATGAGCGGCGGCGATTGAGATGAGCGGCGGCGATTGAGATGAGTGGCGGCGATTGAGATGAACGGCTTTGTTCCGATTTTCATCCAAAACTCCTGGTTAAACGCAGTGGAAGTGTGAGTGACGATTGTAAACGGCATCTGAGTATGGAAAACTCGATTTCAGAGGAGCTTGTTGAGCGGCGGGTGTGCGGGGAGGGGGGGATGAGCGATGGGTGTGCAGGAATGGTGTATGCGTTGTTGCATTGTCGGTTCGCGTGGGCGGGAAGATGACTGCTTGCTGTGGTTGAGTTCTGAAACATGTCAAAACATGTTCCTTCCAGGGATGCGCGTGCTTGCCTGGGCTGTGCTTGCCGTTCTGACTTGCATGGTGGCCGTGATGGCCGTGGTGGTGGTGGGGTGCAGGTGGCATTGAAGCTGGAGCATCGGAGCAGCAAGGGGTGCAACTACGGCCCCCCCTACGAGTGGCAGGTGTACACGTGCGTGTGCTGCCCTGTAGCACTAGCTTGTACTCGATCGTAGTACCTTGCACTAACTTGTATGTACGAGTGCGCTGCACTGCAGCACTTGTTTGTCTGACGATCACACATGAGATAAAATATAGCCTCCTTGTTGCTATCTAGTGTGAGAGGGTATAGGTCACAAGACAAGACTCGTCCAGCTGAAACACATGCCCTCACAGAAGCCACCATAGTGCGTGTCACATTGAGCTATTTGTCATCAAGCTATCCCCCTTTCTTGTGCCGCGTTGACTTACCCCATTCTACCCTTGCTTTCCGCAACTCCCCTCCTCCCCTCCCCACTCTCCCCTCCCCTCCCGTCTCCCCTCCTCTCCCTCCACAACGGTTTCCCGCCCTTCTTCTGCGCTCGCGTCCACCCCCTCTCCAATCTCACGTGCCTGTGTGGTGCAGGACGTTGGGCGGCAGCCATGGCGTGCCCAGAGTGCACTTCAAGGGGCGGCAGGGCGACTACTACATCATGGTACGCACGCACTCAGGGCTACTGCTGCTGCGCTGCTTGTGTCACCCAAAAGGCTCCCAAAAAAAAAAAGGGGAGGGGGAAGGGAAGGGAAAGAATTGGAAGGGAAAATGGGAGGATCATTGCATCATGGGGTGGGGTGGTGTGTGCCAAATACCATGGAAAGGGGCATGGGTGGCATGTCTCTCCTCATGGTTATCTCCCATGCGTGTGTGTCCAACCGTGGCCAGTATGTCATGCCATTTGTTGGGTCCAGGCCAGTGATTGAGGAGTCGTAAGCACATTGTCTCGTATCTCCTCCATCCGCTGCCTCTGTGTGTGTGTGCTCGTGTGTGGCATGGCAGGTCATGGATCTGCTGGGGCCGAGCCTGTGGGACGTGTGGAACAACCACAACCAAGCGTGAGTGCTGACTATGCTGCTGTGCCCACGTGTGGTGTGCTGTGCTGTGCTGTGCTGTGCTGTGCTGTGCTGTGGTGTGGTGTGGTGTGGTGTGGTGTGGTTCAGCAGCACGTGAATGGAGATGGTTCAGCAGCCTTCTATTCTGTCGTCGCCTTATCCATGCCTATGCCCTTCCCTCTCCCCTCCCCCATTCCGTCCGTTCACCCCCCCCCAGCATGACAACGGAGATGAGGGCGTGCATTGCCGCAGGTGCTACCACACCACCTCATCCATCCACTCTAAGTTGCAATAAACGCTCAGGCCTGTTTGCGTTTAGCGGATATCCGCTTGCGTATACACGCAACACGCTATACGCAAGCGAATCCGCTATACGCTCGGCAAATTTGTTTTGGGGCAGCCCGGGTGAAAAAAAAATCGAACATACGGAAAAATGCGGAATTTCACGACGTGCATTTCGCCGAAGGCGAATTGCACGAACGTGACTTGTCCAATTGTGGACGTGGCTTTTTGCAGAACGCGAATTGCACATACGTGACTTGTCCAATCGTGGACGTGGGTTCAACCCACGTAGTCGAGATTGGTTGTGTCAATTTGTCAAGTCGTGTTTTCACGTACACACTTTGTGCGCTCTGTTTGTTACCGCATTGAATCCCCTCCCATCTACTCATTCCAACCAAATGTCCCAATGTTCCCTTCTCTCGTTGTGCTACTTAGTGGGTTGCAAGCAACTACGCAATTCATCAGTTCCCCGTCTCTTTCGTAATGTCTAGCCCGCCATGCACACCGCCATCCGTTCAGACAGTGCAGAGTTCTCGGATTGTTCGACCTGAGGGTAGGGATTACCTTCCTGACATGCCGGAACACGCTGTCTTCAAACATTTCAGCCTCATTGTGTGGGAAGAAGGCAAAGCACAGCAGTAGGAGTGTAAGTACTGCTTCAATTTTTCACCGGTGCAGCCATTCGTTGCGCGCAGCACCTGAGCCCGTGGAAGGGAATGAAGCGTCGCGAGGTGACGCTTTGCAAGGAGGCACCGCAAGACGTACGCAACGAGATGCGCACAAAATACGAAAAGATGGCTGCCGTGATCGAGGAAAAGCACCGAGCAACATCTGCTGCTGTTGCGGCAGTACAGGCTGGCGGAGGGAAGCGGCGCATAACCGACTACTTGGAGGGAGATGCCTCTGCGGCTAAGCGGGATGCTCACGAGGGCCTTGCGCTGATGTTTGCGGCCTGCAAAATCCCGGAGGTCACCATGGACCACCCGCTGTTCATCAACGCCATGCTGCTCGTCAACCGCGCCGGCAACGGCTACGTCCCCCCCAGGAGGACTTTCATTGGCGGGGCTGGACTGGTCGCTGTCCGCAAAGGGATTGAGCAGGGGCTGGTGGGGATTAAATCGAGCTGGAAGAAGACGGGGGTAACAATTGCGTCCGACATGATGACGGACAAATGTGGGAGGGCGCAAGCGAACGTGCTTTTGATCAACGACTACGCCGCCGTCTTCAGGGAGGCGATCGACTGCGGTATGGAGCGGAAGACGGGGGGATACATAGCGGGGATTCTGCAGCCGGTGGTGGTGGAGGTAGGACCAGAAAATGTCGTCGCGTTTTGTATGGATGGGGGGTCGAACTATGCCGTGGCTGTCCAGGAGCTGATTGCCAAGTGGCCCCACATTCAACAGGTCCCTTGTGACACGCATGTGATGGATCTCCTCCTGGAGGACGTGGGAAAGATGGGGTGGGCAAAAGGGGTGGTGGATCGGACTGGGGAGATGAGTTCGTTCGTTCGCAACCATCATTGGACGCGCGCTTATCTGAGAACCAAGGAGTTGGTGGAGGGGAAGGTGCTGCAGCCGCTGAAGCCAGCGGGAACACGGTTCGGGACACAATACATTGCTGTGTCCCGCCTTTGTCGGTTGCGTAGCACCCTCAACGCGATGGTGCTTTCCGACAGGTGGAAGGAGTGGGCCTCGGGGTCGCGGAAGGAAACTGCCGAGGCCTTTGCTGCACGGGTCCTCGATGACGCATGGTGGCGGACGGCAGAATTCTTCTGCAAGCTGATGCAACTGCCCTACAAGGCGATGCGGCAGACTGACGCAGATGCCAATGGGATGATGGGCCGGCTCTACGATGTAATGCTGCAGCTTACCGAGGATGTCAACAACATCCTGGACGAGGATGAGCAGCAGCTGAGTAGCGCGGACAAGGAAAAGATCCGCAGCATCATCAAGGACCGCTGGGATAACAACCTCGCCTGCGCCATGCACGTTGCTGGCCGAATCCTCAACCCCGCCAACCAGGAGGAGGATATCTTTGGCAGCGACGCCGAATGCACCCGGGTTTTCAAGGCGTTAATCAACCAGCACGTGGAGTTCCTCATCGGCCACGACGGGGAAGGGGAGGGATGAGGGTCCAGATTACTTGCTTGCCTTGGGTGACGGGCTGAGGGCTTTCTTGGACATGAAAGGCAGTTTTGGGATGCCGGAGGCTCTTGCACAGAGGGAGAAGGTGAAGGCGGGTAAGTACAGCATGGTGAAGAAGTGGCAGTGGAACGGCACAGATGCACCTCACCTGATGCGCTTCGCCGTGAGGGTGCTATCTCAGCCTGTATCGGCATCCCCTTGTGAGCGTGGGTGGGGAACTTGGGATGCTGTCCACACAGCCCGCCGGAACCGCCTCGGATCTGCAAAGTGCCAGGACCTGGTTTTTGTTGCGCACAACTGGAATGTTGTGCGCAACTGGCACTCGCGTGCAGATGTAATGCCGAACGTTGTGCCAGGGATTGGGGACGAGCCTCCTATTCCCGAGGGGTACAACGGGTTGGATGAGACGGAGGTGGAGGAGGAGGAAGGCGAGGATGACGTCCTGGAGGACGAGTACGCTTAGAACTAGGGTGGCAGGAGAGTATTAGTGACATGTGTGTGTGTATGGTGTCGTAATCTTATTATGCGGAAAAAAACTGTGTTGCAAAACCCCAAAATGCCTCACCCCTCCCCCCCCCCCCGTCTTTCCCCTCCCCCCCCCCCCCCCCCACATACCATCCCCAAGTGGTTTTTTTTTGCCCTGCCCGGGAAAGTTTTTTCCCTGCCCGGAAAAGCGTATTCCAAAGTCGACCCCCCAAGCGGATAGCGTGCATACGCTAGCGTATATACGATAAGCGTATATACGCTATAAGCGTATATTGCAACTTAGCATCCACTTCCCCCCCTCCCCCCTTCCAACCTCCCCCTTCCAACCCAACCTCCCCCGCATCCCCCTTCCTTCCCACCCCTCCCCCCCCCCTCCCCCCCCCCAAGCATGTCAACGGAGATGGTGGCGTGCGTTGCAACGGAGGCTTTATCCTCTTCCCCTCCCCCCTTTCCCCTTTTCCTCTCCCCCTTTCGCCCTCCTTCCCCCCCTCCCCCCCCCACCAGCATGTCAACGGAGATGGTGGCGTGCCATAGCAGCGGAGGCCCTCTCAATATTGGAGAAGGTGCACGAGCGAGGGTGAGTCAGTGTGACAGTATTGAGGGCGAGTGTGACAATTGCGAGGGTGAGTGAGTGTGACAGTAGCGAGGGTGACTGTGACAATTTCGAGGGTGAGTGAGTGTGACAATAGCGAGGGTGAATGCAGTCACTCGTTCTCCCAGGCCCTCGTCCCCTCTCTGGGCCCATCACTCCTCCCTCCTCCCGTCTCTGCGCGTCCTTGCGCCTTTCACACGTCTCAACGCCCTCTCTCCGTTCTCTGCCTCGCCTCTCTTCCTTGAGAACGGAGAGAGGGCGTCTTCTGCCTCTCTTCTTTGAGACGCCTGAAAGCCCTGCACTGTGCACCTTTCGCCCTCCTCCTCCCATTATTTTGTCAAACTGCCGTTTTTTCTTCCACCAGCTACGTGCATGGAGACGTGAAGCCGGAGAACTTTCTTCTCGGGCAGCCCGGGACTTCCGAGGAAAAGAAGCTGCTACCTGGTTGACCTGGGTTTAGGTGAGACAGTGAATTAACTGACCATTATGACATTGTTTTTACTCAAACAAAGAAAGAAAAGGAGTGGGGTTGCAGGATGTGGGGCACCCCAATGGAGTTCGATTCTGTAAAGAATTCTAAAATAAAACTTTCCGCACCCCTGCCTTCTCCTCTCTTCTCCAATTGTTCTCCTTCCCCACCCCTTCTTCTCTCCTGCTCCCACCGTTCCGTGCATGGCGCTAGCAACGAGGTGGAGGGACAGCAACACGGGGCAGCACGTGGAGTATGACCAACGACCAGACATCTTCAGGTGAAAGGACCTATTCAGGTGATTTGCCAGGCCGTTTAAGGCGGATTGCCCAGTGCCATTGTCAGACGTTCTCAGGTGAATCGCCAGAGATGGTCAGGTGGGGCCAGGCCAGGTAGCCGGACATTGTTTCTTTGGTGTATAGTCAAAGTCCGCAACAGCCACCTGCGCTACGTGGGTTGCACACGCATATGGGGCGTAGAGGCGGCTGAAACCCCATGCATGCATGCACCACAATGAACACAGTTCCCTTGCTCCCCCTTCCTCCACAGGGGCACGGTGCACTATGCGGGGGTGCAGGGCGCTACGGGCAGTCGCAGGACGAGCTGGAATCACTGGCATACACACTCGCCTTCCTCCTGCTGTCCCCTCACCCGCACCCTGTGCTTGTGCTTCTTCTTCCTCTTTCACAGGGGCACGGCTGCGCTATGCAGGCGTCCACGCACACCTGGGCGCACGGGCAGTCGCAGGGATGACTTAGAGTCACTGGCATACACACTCGTCTTCCTGCTGCGAGGAAGACTTGCCCTGGCAGGGCTACCAGGTGAGTTTTCAGGTGGCAGGGGTTTCAGGTGAATTTCTGATGGCATAGCTGTCAGGTGAATTCTCAGGTGGCATGGCTGTCAGGTGAATTCTCGGGTGGCATGTGTCAGGTGAATTCTCGGGTGGCATGTGTCAGGTGAATTCTCAGGTGGCAGAGGTAGAAGGTGACCACCTCACCGGAATTGCCCCTCTGCTCCTGTTCCGTTTTGCTCTCCTCCCTCTCTCACCCTCTCCGTCTCTCGCCCTTCTCCTCACCCATCTCCCATCAGGGCGACAACAAGGGTTTCTTAGTGTGCAAGAAGAAGATGAGCACGTCGCCCGAGATGCTCTGCTGCTTCTGTCCGCCGCCTTCAAGCTCTTCCTCGAGTACGTCGTCAGCCTCAAGTTCGATGAGCGCCCGACTACGCCAAGTGCGCCGCCATGTTCGACCCCATCCTCTCCCCCAACCCAGCACTACTGCCTCTCAACACAGAGGGAGCACGCTCTCTCAAGGTGGGTGACGGCGGTCCTGCACTGGGGTGTAGTGCGGTGTGGTGCGGTGTGTGGTTTTTTAACCGTCAACACGGAGAAATGCAGAGCTGTGTATCCGTATCTGTATATGTTTGTGTGTTATCCCCATGCGCGCATCCCCATGCGCACATTCCTATGCGCACATTCCCATGCGCACATCCCCATGCGCACATCCCCATGCGCACATCCCCATGCGCACATCCCCATGCGCACATCCCCATGCGCACATCCCCATGCGCACATTCCCATGCGCACATTCCCATGCGCGCATCCCCGTGTGTATGCATCGCCATATTTGCCCCCATACCATACGCACATCCCCATGCATTCATCACCATATTGACCCCCATGCGCACATCCGTGTGCGGTGGTGGCAGGTGCAGGTGGGGCAGAAGAGGGGGCGGGGCGAGGGGGGCGAGGGAGGGGCGGAGGAGGATCAGCTGAGGAAGAAGATCCGCCTCGGCATGCCGGCCACCCAGTGGATCTCTGTTTACAGCGCCAGACGGCCTATGAAGAGAGGTAGGGGGGGTGAGAGAGAAGGAGGGTGTACGCACGTGGCACACAGGAGGAGGATCAGCTGAGGAAGAAGATCCGCCTCGGGCATGCCGGCCACCCAGGGATCTCTGTTTACAGCGCAGACGGCCTATGAAGCAGAGTGTAGGGGGGGTGAGAGAGAGGGAGGATGTACGCACGTG